CCTAACTTCAATGGAGTTATGTTTCTTAAATATTTTTCTCATAACACATTTCTAGTAGCATCATTTATCATGCAGTTATGAAGTATGTGAACTATTCATAACATGTATTCATATTTTCTTTCCTAGAACAAGTTCAAGGATTTAGATTCTCCCTGGGGAAAGAAAAATGAAAAATGGATTATGTAAGTTTCTGTGTCTCTCTCTGAAATTCTTTGACCTCTGTAGGAAGAAATGTAATTCATTATATAAGAAGGATTTATTGAGTAACTACTCTCTTCAAGCCACTTTCCTAAATCCTAAATTAAAAAAAAAAAGGAGAAGGTAGGTTTCTGGCTTTTAGTAAATATATACTCTAGTTCAAATACCAATACAAAGGAATCATTTGACTATAAAAGCTATGAAGGAAACATTGTTTTTCCATCTGCCAGTGTTCCTGATCCTCTGCCCTCCCTCTCCTTCCTCCAGTAAGCCTAATAACACCCGTTATCAAAAAATGTGATATAATGTCCCTATACATAGTACAAAGCATCTGGATAACCTCCTCCCCTCCTGATGTTTGGAGAAATATATATAGGCCCAATTTTCAGAAAACACTCATGTCTTCTGAACAATTTCATCGAACTTTTTGTGAGCACTTACTCTTTACCAGATGTTTCTCTAGGCAATTTCACATCCATTATCCTATTTACTTCCACAGTGGCTTGATGTTAATATAGTCACTTCTACTTTACAGGAATAGGGGGAAATGAGTAATGAGGAAATGAATAATCAGAAATACAAAATAAATTTCCCAAGGTCATGCCACTAGTTCATGGCAAAACAGATTTATACCTCAGGGTTAAAAACAAAAACGAAAACAAAAACTAGGTTCAGTGTTCTTCTCACTGAACTACTTTGAATGTAAGGACAGGTGATGGGTCTCATGCCCACAGATTGGGTGCCCCGGGAAGCAGATTCCAAGATGGAAATTAGTGTCCAGGGAGATATTGGGAGTGCTCTCAGTATCAACATGATCAGTAGAGGAGATGAAAACAGGAGAGCGAGCTGTGGTGAAATCACAACCAGATGTCAGAAAACAAGACATTGAGCTTGCACACTGACAAGGTATTGGGTGTGCACTGCCTCAAAAGGAGGGCTTAAATTTAGGGAAAGAGGATCTCTGCAATGAGGCAATTCCTGGAGAGGGCTAACAGTTGAGAGGTGCCAATACCATTCTTAGCTGCTGGAGGAAGATCCCTTAGTCTTGAATGAGATGTGGATGGTGCAGAACTGCAGTTACACCTTAAAGCTTTGTGGGTCAGTCTCCCACACTAATTTCTTGGTGACCTTCAACTATTTTAATCTAACCGTTCAATGGATCAATTTAAAGAAAGATGTTTTAGGGTGTCTGGGTGGCTCAGTTGGTTAAGCAACTGCCTTCAGCTCAGGTCATGATCCTGGAGTCCCAGGATCGAGTCCCACATCCAGCTCCCTGCTCATTAGGGAGTTTGCTTCTCCCTCTGTCCCTCTTCCGTCTCGTGCTCTCTATCTCTCATTCTCTCTCTCTTAAATAAATAAATAAAATCTTTAAAAAAAGAAAGAAAGAAAGATGTTTTATTTGCATATTTTTCCATAGAGTACAACATCCAACTAAACAAACAAGAATAAAACTAAAGTGAGAAAATGTGGTCAAGAATTTGGTTAGAGAGGCAGAGTGGCAGAGGTTCACCGACAGTTGACTCTATTTTCAAAAACTGTATTTTCAGTCCACCTCCATGACAGAAACATTGGAGGAAGGGGGATTTCATTTAAGTTTTGTAACCAGTTACCTAGAATCTAGATTGCACCCCATAGAAAATATTCCCACTGATTTTCAAGAGTTCCCGCCTCCAACAAATTTTACAATTCAAACACAAAATAGTATTATAAAAAGATGTCCAAACTTGTAATCTGTATAATAGATTGGGCTAACATAGGACTCTTTCACTCAAATTATAACAGATGCTAGATATTTCCCAAAGAAAATGAAAACACTAATTCAAAAAGATATATGTAACCCTGTTCATTGCAGCATTATTACAGTAGCCAAGATATGAAAGCAACCAAAGTGTCTGCTGATAGATGAGTGGATAAAGAAGACATGATACACACACACACACACACACACACACAATGGAATATTCCTCAGCCATAAAAAGAATGAGATCTTGCCATTTGCAACTGCATGGATGAACCTAGAGGGTATTATGCTAAGTGAAGTAAGTCAGTCAGAGAAAGACAAATAGCATATGATTTCACTTGTATGTGGAATCTAAGAAACAAAACAAATGAACAAACAAAAAAACAGACATAAATACAGAGAACAAACTGGTTGCCAGAGGGGTGGGGGATGGGCAAAATAGATAAAGGAGATTAGGAGGTATAAACTTTCAGTTATAAAATAAATAAGTCATGGGGATGAAAAGTACAGCATAGGGAATATAGTCAATAAAACTGTAATAACGTACCATGACAGATGGTGACTAAACTTATTGTGGTGAGCATTGAGTAATATACGGATTTGTCACATCGCTATGTTGTACACCTGAAACTAATATAATATCGTATGTCAATTTTACTTAAATAAAAAAATAAAGTTAGTCTCTTTTAAGTGACACAAATGCTAGATAAGTGACAATAAAACATTTTAAAATATATTCAAAGTTCAGAAAACGTCTCAGTGCAGGAATTACAGAACTCAAAACCAGACCAATAAGGAAGCATCATGTGCCCCCTTTCCTGCATGTGGGTATCAGAACCAGATACGTGTCCAGTGGGTTAAAGGGCATGCTTTATGGATACAGGAATTAGCCACAGTCCCAGTGCAAAGTGTTGTTTCTTAGCTCTTTACATAAAGTCATGAATAAAGAAGGGCTGACCCATTACTGAAAAGATTACAAAATCTCTGCTGCTGCACTAAGGGACATGGCCCGGAAGCCAGCCATTCCAGTTGATGGGAGAAGGAAGCTGAGAGATCTGGGACTCAATCCTTCAGCATGTAGGCTAGGAAATTCCAATTGGAGAAATTAACACAAAACTATTTCAGTTCTGGCAAAACATGGTGCTCAGGCACAGGCAACCACGAAGCTTTCCCCCAGAGATAGCCTCACATGAGGCATGCAGGACTTCCATAGAAACAATTTCTTCAAAAGATGAGCTCACAAACTTACCAAAACAAACAAACAAAGAAAAAAAAACACAAAACTTGAAGGCACAAATTGCCACAACGCATACCACAAATGCAATATGCTGGAGAATTTATACCACAGAAACAACAAATAATAGAAAACTATGGGAGAATCCTAAAATAAGTATGTTTAAAGTGGTCCAATAGATAACAATAGTAACAGAAATCTAAAGCAAGAGTAAGATAAAATGGAAAATGAACAGACAGGCTTCAGTTAAGTCGAACTAAAAGGAAATCTTGAAATGAAAATATGGAAATCAAAATTAAGAAAAACAACTCAAATTTAGGTTAAAAGCTTAATAGGTGCAGCAGAAGGAATTAGTGAATTGGAAGATAGATTTGTAGAAATCATTTTGGAACGCAGCACGGAAGTATCAAGAGATAGAAGATACTAAAGGAGAGTTAATAGACAAGGAGGACAGAAGGAGAAGTTCCAATAGCCATCCAACAGAAGAAGTAACAGAGAAATGGGGGATAAGCAATGTCCAAAACATAAACTTTTTTAGGTAGGAACACTGAAGCACTTGCCAAGTCCTAAGCAGAATTAATATTTTTCTAAAAAGACAAAATCCATGCTTCGGTTCTCTGAGTGGATGAGAATCACAGAGGGACGTGGATAATGATGGAGGCGGGGCATCACACACATGGTCGCTGGCATTAAGAAGAGTCGGATGCAGGAAGAGAAAATGAATTTGCCTAGTCACAGTGTTTCCTTAAAAAAAAAAAAAAAAAACTCTTCTAAACTTGCTTAAGTAAAGTCCTAGGAATGCAATAGTATTTGAATGTGAATTGTTGGTCTCTATCCCTAAGTATTTACCACAATGTCCCAGTTCACACATTACCGTCCTAATGGAGGAAGGTGCTCTGGGGCTCCCTGGGGTTACCTGACCCAGATGTGTATTACATGGGAGCTAAAAAAGGCGACCTTCTGGCTTTCTTACTTTTTGCTAGAAGGCTTCCTCCATTTCATACAGAAATCACTTAATATATAATCAAATTAAACTGTAATTCTCTGATGGACAGTTCGATGTGCAACAGGATGTGCATCTTCTTTCACTTCATTGATGGCATGATATATTTTTTATATGTCCATCATTTTAAAACTGTTATCGACCTTCTTATATACAAACTATAGTCTCCAAGAAGAAGCTGAATATTCTTTTTTATCAAACTCCTGAAGAGCTCCACCTTTCAGTAGATGTAAAATAGGCAGTTGTTGCTCCTCCCAATCTTCTTCATATTGTTTTATTCCTATTAGACCATTATCAAAGCAATGCTAATATTCTTTGAAATGGAGGAGTTTGACAGTTGAAAGCACTACTGCTTTTTAATTATTGGTGTGCAATTAAAAGATTTTTCCCAGTAGAGGTCATGTATAAACAGCTCAGCAATTTCCTTAACTTTTCCTAAGTTGTCTAAACATGAAACATTTCAGCTCAGTTATCTCAGAGGTAAATGAATGAGGCTGAGTGAAAACCAGGGATCTTCTAGAAATCCTTATAATCTATTGTTTACTCCAGAGGCACAAATTGCCCTTCAGTATCTCAACATTTTTCTTACTTGTCAGAGTGTAGTGTTTCTCTATACTTAACACTTAAGGTGCATTCATTCATTCCAAAGGCCAGAAATCCTGACTTTTTTACTCCAGTCTTCTTCCCACAATGGTTGCTCTGTAAAAACGGTCTCAAAAGTGATGGAGACACAACTGATGTGGTACACTTAATGCTGCTTAAAGTACAAAAAAGTATATATTAGGAATTTTATTGATATTTAGTTTTATTGCAAAAAAAATTACACGTAGTACATTGAGTATTAGTGATGCAGGCCCCTCATTTAGTGCAGAAGCCAGGATCGAGAGCGGCAGCGCCATGACGGGCGTATGGGCCATGCGCTCCCTTGACTCCAATAGCCCGTGTCACACAGGTGCGTTTACAGTCCACGCCCACTTTAAACTAAACTAATCCTCACACAATAGATGAGGGCGTTAAAAAGATTCTTACAAAGGAACAATTGACTGAAGAAAATACTTGCAGAAACTCACCTGAAAGGAAGCACGTCTCCACAATTTTTTTTAACAATATTTCAAATCATACAATGCCCAATCCACTATTTTATAAATATCCACTCACTATAATGAAAAAGTTTTAAATACATCTTCTGGGCTTTCTTGCTTACTATCAAAGTACAAAAGTCATTATATCTCTGAGGAACATCTTTCTGCTGTGGCAAAAATGACCAAAACAATATAAATAAATTAATATGATGATAAATCAATGTTCATTTCACTGTTAGCACATACTGTTTGAAGATACAGAGAAACAATGTTAAAGACTTAAAGAAACAGACATTTCTATGCTCAGCTTATTTGCTAGATTCTCTTTCAGTGACAAAATACACATAAAACTATAATTTGTGAGCCATTAAAGGACAGATGTACTGCAGAGGATATTTTCTCAAGAGTAAATGTTTTATGTCACCATAATTTGTGGAATGAAAAAAAAATACTGTATAAATTAACCTCTGCTATAGTAGGCACTTTGGTGTTCCAAGAAGAAATCTAGAAGGTCACAGAAATGGCCAAACATCTGCAATTCAATCACTGTATCCTTCGTGGGCAAGCCATTGCAACAAATAATTGAGCCCAAAATGCCCAAAATGCTACAATCTCATCTATCAGGTTATGTTTGTTTGTTTGTTGCCAACGGGACCTTTAAATTAAAAATGTCTGTACAATAGGTGTAATGAAATGAGGAACGACTGTGAAAATCCTTTGTTCCACAGAGAGGTTTATTTATCATCATGTGACAAAGCATATATCAGAGTTACAGAACTTCAAGACAGCTTAGATATTTTTTATCTCTAAAAAAGAGAAAAGTTTTCCAAGTTTGCTTTCCTCTGTGATATGGAGAGGCTGTTGTGAGGCAGATATTGAAAACAAACAGGTGTAATCTGTCCTTCACAGGTAAAGGTGACATTTTTACAAGGAATAAGGAAATAACTGTTTTATGAAAGAAAATTGAGCTCTTATAGAGAAAACATTTGAAATGGATATTTGAAGTTATTTCCCTCATTATTTCTTTTGCTGAAAACAATGAGAATCATATAAAAAAATCTACACTTTTAAAACCTGTTAGCAGAAATTTCCAAATGAAGGTTTGAAAGGTTTTGTTGTTTTGTTTTTGAGAGAGAGACAGACAGACAGAGAGAGCATGAGCAGGGTGAGGGGCAAAGGGAGAGAGAGAATCTTATGTGGACTCCCCACTAATCACAGAGCCCAAGGTAGGGCTCCATCGCATGACCCTGAGATCATGACCTGAGCCAAAATCAAGAGTTGGACACTTAACCATCTGAGCCACCCAGAGCCCCCAAAAGGTTTTGAATTCACTTGTTAAAAAAATTTTTAATGCAACACCTTTCCCATTAACTTGCAAGAACAATTGATTTACATCTGGGAGATAGAAATTTACTGCAATAATTGTTTTAAAACAACAGAATTTCACAAAAACAAAATAAGACAAAAAAGAAAATTTTGAGTGAAAGCTACTGATTTAGGAAGCACAACCAGTGTACATCACTTCTATTTGCACTGATGGTTTCTTTCTGTAGTAACATTTTTAGCTATGAAAGCCATTGGAATAATTTTAATCATTTAGCCATTTAATTGTTAAATAAACTAAGCCAAATAATCACTTTTGTATAGCACAATGAATTAAACCAAGATTTTTTAATAGTTAAAGCTATTCATCCACATTGCTTCCAAAATACTTTGGTACCATTAATAAAATATATCACTTTTAAAATTCATGTTTATTCCATCTGTGTCTTTGGGGTAAATACCCAGTAGTGCAATTGCATAGAGCCGAGATGCCCTTCAACAGATGAATGGATAAAGAAAATGTGGTCCATATATACAATGGAATATTACTCAGCCATCAGAAAGGATGAATACCCAACTTTTACATCAACATGGATGGGACTGGAGGAAATTATGCTAAGTGAAATAAGTCAAGCAGAGAAAGTCAATTATCATATGGTTTCACTTATTTGTGGAACATAAGGAATAGCATGGAGGACATTAGGAGAAGGAAGGGAAAAATGAGGGGAGGGGAATTGGAGGGAGAGATGAACCATGAGGGACTATGGACTCTGAGAAACAAACAGGGTTTTAGAGGGGAAGGGGGAAGGGGGATTGGTTAGCCCGGTGATGGGTATTAAGGAGGGCATGTACTGCATGGAGCACTGGGTGTTATATGAAAACAATGGATCGTGGATCACCACATCAAAAACTAATGATGTATTGTATGGTGACTAACATAACATAATAAAATTTTAAAAATTCATGTTTATTTCATCTTTATATTTGATATGCATTTTGAAATGTTTTATAACATATAAACTAATACTTGTATATAATATATAAACATACATACATTATAGGTAAAGGACCCTGGGATCACGACCTGAGCCAAAGGCAGATGCCTAACTGATTGATCTACCCAGGCGCCCCAGGATTTTTAATTTTAGCCACTGTCACTTAAATTTGTTTGCATTTTTCTACTGCTTACTGCTGTTAAGCATATTTTTATAAAGTTATTTGCTATCTATATATCTTCTTGGTTGAAGTGTCTATTTAAATCTTCCACTAACTCTTTATTGGGTTGTTTGATTTCTTATTGTGAGCTTTACATGTTCTTAATGTATTCTGGGTCAGATCTTTTATTACACATGTGATTTACAAATCTTTTCTTGAAGTCTGTAACTTGGTTTCTTCATCCACTTAATGGTGTCTTTCTAAGAGTAATGGTTCTTAATTTCGATGAAGTCTGATTTATTGTTGTTGGTTTTTTTTAAGAATTATGATTTAGGCACTGTATCTAAGAAATCTGTGCCAAACCCAAGGTCACAAAGATTTTTCTCCTATGTTTTCCACTAGACATTTTTTTAGTTTTAGGATTTATATTTAAGTTTATGATCCATTATTGAGTTAATTTTTATATATTATGTGAGGGATGAATCCAGGTTTTGTTTCTTGTTTGGCATATGAATACCCAATTTTTCCAGCATCATTTGTTGAAAAGATTAACTTTTCCCTATAGACATATCTTTGTACCTTTGTTGAAATCAACTGACTGCATATGTGTGGGTCTATTTCTGGACTCTCCATTCTGTTCCAATGACCTCTCTGTCTATCTTCACACAAATGGCACATTGTCTTGATTACTACAGCATTATAATAAGTCTTAGAATACAATATTGTAAGTCCTCCAACTTTATTCTTTTTAATATGTTCAGCTATTCTAGTTCTTTGCATTTCTATATGAATTTTAGAATCAGCTTATGGAAGGGCATTATACAATATTATTCTGGTATCTTTATTGTGATTGCATCGAATCTATAGATTGCTTCGAGGGGGATTGACATTTTAATATTGAGTCTTAGGATCCAGGAACACAGTACATCTTTCTTTTTAAGACTCGTTCATTTCTCTCAATGATTTTTTTTTATAGTTTTTGCTGTATAGAGCTTACACATTTTTTGTCACATTCATGCCCAGGTATTTCATATTTTAATGCTACTATAAATGATATGTTTTAAATTTTAATTTCTTTTTCTTTCTTTTTTTTTTTTTTAGAGAGAGAGAGAGAGAGCACGCCAGCATGCACGCAAGGGAGCGGGAGGGCAAAGAGAGAGGGAGAGAGAATCTTAAGCAGGCTCCACACCTACCTCAACGCCCAACGTGGGGCTCTATCTCATGACCCTGAGATCACGACCTGAGCTGATATCAAGAGTCGAAGGCTTAACGGACTGATCCACTCAGGTGCCCCTAAAATTTTAATTTCTGATAGTTTTTTGCTAATGTATACAGAAACACAATTGACTTTTGAATATTCATCTTGTATCATGAAAAATCACTAACTTTATTTTTTGGCTTTAGTACAATTTTGTAGATTCCATTGGATTTTCTACATTGAAGATTATGAAGTCTGTAACAAAAGCTAATTTTGTTTACTCATGTTTAATATGAACATCTTTTACTTTTACCTGCCTTATTGGCTTGAACCTCCAGTGCAATGCAATGTTATATATATAAGGAATGAGAGGAGACATCCTTAGAAAGAAATACTCAGTAGCAGTCTTACCCTCCTAAGTAGGATGTTAGATGTAGGTTTTTCTTAAACTATACCTTATAAGATGGAGGAATTTCCCTTCTATTATTAATTTGATGAGATTTTTGATTCTAGCAACTGATTTTCCTGCATCTATTGAGATGTTTGTGTGTGTGTATCTGTTAGTATGGTGAATTGCATTGATTTTCAAATATTAAACTAACCTTGCATTTCTGGGATAAACCTCTCTTAATTATAATGTATTAGCATTTTTATATATTATTGGATTTGATTTACTAAATTTTTGTTAAGAATTTTTACATCTTTTGAAATATAACGTTTTACTTTTCTTGCAATGCATTTTTCTGGTTTGGGTATCAAAATAATTCAGGCTCCATAGAATGAGTTAGAAAATATTTCCTCTTTAATTTTCTAAAAGAAGGTATATATAATCAGTATTATTTCTTCCTTAAATGTTGGTAGAATTCGTCATTGAAAACATCTTTGTCTGGGATTTTCTTTATGTAAAAGTTTTTAACTTAAACTTGAAATTATTACAAATATACAGGGACATTTGTATTACATATTTATTTTTCAAGTAAGCCTTGGTAGTTCACAACTTTCAAGGAATTTATCCATTTTCTATAAGTTGTAGAATATATTGACATAAAGTTGTTCATTTGATTCCCTATCATCTACCAAGTATCTTGTAAAACCTGTATGATGTTACCTCTCTCATTCATGATATTGGCAACTCTCATAT